AGGTCTACATTGTTGGGCGCACAGAAGAAAAACTTGAGAAAGTCGTTGAGGTGCACGGCAAAGGCATTGCCGGCGAGATGATACCTCTTGTTGCCGACATTACAAGCAAGGAAGAAATCCAGAGGCTTGTGAAAGAAATCGAGTCCCGCGAGCAATGCCTCTGCATCCTGATCAACAACGCCGGTATCGCAACCTCAAAACAGAAGCCGGAAGGCGAGACAGCGGCCGAGCTGAAGAAGAACCTCTTCGATCCCGAGAACGCCAATTTCGAAGATTGGGCGACGACCTACAAGACCAACGTGCCCCAACTCTACTTTATGACCCTCGCCTTCCTCCCTCTCCTGGAGAAAGCCACCGAGCACATGAAGGGCTATACTGGCTGCGTCATCAACATCAGCTCTATCTCTGGCCTGGTCCTCAAGTCCCAGGCCCATTTCTCCTACAACGCGAGCAAAGCCGCCGCAATCCAGGTGACCAAGCTGCTGGCGTCAGAGATTGCCAACGCCGGCGTCAAGGTCAGAGTCAATTCTATTGCACCAGGTGTCTTTCCGAGTGAGATGACGGCCGGAGAGAGCAAGGACAACCAGAAGAGTGAAATACCGGCCGACAAGTACGCACACCTGCCAGCACGTCGTCCAGGGAATGATAGGGATATGGCCAATGCGGTCCTGTTCATGGTGACGAATCAGTATCTCAATGGCCAGATCGTGCCTGTCGATGGAGGGTACTTGCTGAAGTTCGGGACGTAGGGGAGAGCTGGACATGTCAAGTCGTTCGCAAAAGCGGTATTGCATCTGCACCTCTACTCTGGTGATTTAGTCCGGCATGCAAAGACACGATACACATGAGTTGCATGAGAAAAGTTTACCATGCTCATCATTGATTTACAGTATTTCATTCGCGTGACCAGTAATCTCGCCCCTTTGCTGTCGCTAGTGGCTATGATATCGCTACCAGCGTGGAAAGACAGTCTTGACATAATCGTCCTCGGAATACAGACTTACGGGGCCGACAACACCAATATAAGATGATATACCGCCAAAGATAGTTGCAGAAAGCCGGTTCTTCTAAGGCACCGCCATGGCGACGGAAGCTGTCGACGCTTTTCGTCGCTTTCAATCTTGCACCTCCCAGCTCTGACAACAACATCGCTCACGGTACGCTCCTCCAAGCATAAGCCCTCGACCTCGCTCTCGAAGCCTTTCATACGTGAACCACCGTCCCAAAATCCAGAGAACATCAACCGCTCTGGCCCTCGCGCCAATTGGTGAGTAGTCGGAGCCTTTGCGGCAGCACCAAACTTTTCGCTATGTAGGGAGCCCTCGACATAATGTCGTAGAGAGAAGGGTCTTGTAGGCCTCGAGACCACTTCTGCAATGTCGTTGATCATTTCGAAGACCTCGCTTCGCTACGTCGTTTTCGTAGGTCTCGATACTGGGCTTACAGCTCGGCAGGGGTGAAAAAAAGTTCGGCAGGGGTGAGTAGATGCTAGGTATATGCACCTCGTTCGGGGTGAAAGGGATACACTCAGCATATGCTAACATCTCATCGGGGGTGAAAAAATTATTATTCAGTCTAGCGATTTTGACGTGTGCGAGATACGCGGGCCTCTGCCGAAATTTGATGCAGAGGTATATATTTGGTCCCTACGCTTCCCAGCCACCGTATTGATTAGCTATTTGATTCTGTACTGTATTTAAGATCTAACCCTGGAGAGGTCTGGAGAATTAATCTATCTATTCTATATATCGTATACCTGATATTCTAATAGCCTCGAGATACGGGAGTCTTTATATGTAGGATATACGGTGCTGATGCTTAGTATATGCTTAGTATACCCCTGTTTTCTTAATCATTGGGAAACTAAAAAAAAATCTGCGAATTTGGCACCCCCCCATAATCAAAAATCAAAAATTTGAATTTTCCTGTATAACCTCACCACCACTTATTTTTACAGTCTAAAAATTTTACGATATCTACTTATTATATTAAGTAATCTATCTCTAAATTTTAGAAAGATTTAGATTTTAATCTTATAAGTGAAATATAAAAAGTGAGAATATATCGCGAACTTGAAAAATTTACCTCGGCTATTTTTTTTACCGCTAAGATTATCTTAAAAAATCTAAGAATTTATTAAATCTTTATTCTATAATAAAACGGATAATTAGAATCTTTTAAAATTCGATATTCTTAATCTCTTATATAATTATTAAAATTCAGATTTTTTTTAGAATATTATAAGTTATCGTTGTGGGGTTATTTAAGAAAAGCACTTTTTTTGTTTTTTGAAGGGGGGTGCCAAAATCGCGATTCTAGTTTCCCAATGATTAAGAAAATAGGGGTATGCTATAACTCGGATAAAGTGGCTATAGTTTTATTGACTCGACCCGAGTTTAGTCGGGGTGAAACGGATACGTTTAGTATATGCTATGAGTTCATCTGGGGTGAAGTGAGCATATGCTGAAGCTTTACCTCTGCCGAACTTTTTTTCACCCCTGCCGAGCTGTAACCCGCTCGATACTGACCGTGAAATGCGGTACGTGAGGCTGATGACAGTGAAGATTCTCGTCCAGCTCCTCTGCCCTTGAACAGCCACCCGGCTCAGCGCGATTACCTCCCAAACATTCAAGCCCCCAGGTACTGGCCGGAAAGGTATGGTATGGTATGGGATATTGACCTGCCATACCATACTCTGGTATGGTATGGGTTATTGAGATTTGCATGATCCCATACCTGGTATGGTATGGGATCTTGGCGGGATATACCACGGTATGGTATATCTGTGGTATCATACCATGGAATGGTATATGTATGGGATATCCTGTTGGGATTTCTATATTTAGAAGTATAAGTAGCTATTCTAATCATCATTCTGGTCAACGGCTAATCGTATCTACCCCCATTCGATATACTACCATGCCTGCCACTATCATGCCTGCCACTACCATGCCTGCCACTACCATGCCTGCCACTACCATAGCTACCATATGATAATAGGCTATTTGAATAATAAATAGTAATAGCCATGGTAGTGGTAGCTGTTAAAATATCAGGTATGTGATGTGTAGAACGGACGGATTGATTCTCCAAAACCTCTCCGGGGCCAGGTCCTAAATACAGTACAAAATCAGGTGGCTGAAGAACACGGTGGCTGGGATGCGCGGGGGCCACATTTCGACAGTAGCTATGGTAGTGATAGTCATGATAGTGAGTGATAGTCATGGTAGTGGCAGCCATGATAGTGGCAGCCATGGTAGTAGCAGCCATGGTAGTGGTAGACATGGTAGTGGTAGACATGGTAGTGGTAGACATGGTAGTGGTAGACATGGTAGTGCCAGCCATGGTAGTGCCAGCCATGGTAGTGCCAGCCATGATAGTATATCGAATGGGGGTAGATACGATTAGCCGTTGACCAGAATGATGATTAGAATAGCTACTTTATACTTCTAAATATAGAAATCCCAACGGGATATCCCATACATATACCATTCCATGGTATGATACCACAGATATACCATACCGTGGTATATCCCGCCAAGATCCCGAACCCATACCAGAAAAATGGAATGGTATCCGACCCTATCCATACCATACCCGGGTACGGTATGGTATCACTTGGTATGGAATATCCCATGGGATATACCATACCTTTCCGGCCAGTACCCCCAGGCTATGCTCCTTTTCTCCCGGAAGTCTTGGCGAATGATCGACAACGCTCGCTCGCTTGCTGTTCCATGGCGAGCCGCACCCAAAGAGGGAACCCTAATCTTGATGCAGACACAACGCATTACCAGACAGCCTCGCCTCGCGCTCTCGTCTATCGCCCACAAAGAGATGATCATACACGTCCCGTAAGCCGCATCCTACACCCACCTCCGAAAATGGGTCGTCCTGTTAAGGAAAAGGGTCCAAAGGTACGATGCTCCATACCTCTCCCACTGAAGCGGCTTTGGCGAGATCAGGGCATTCCACCTAAGTACCTCTATCCTCCTTTCCCTATTCTCATCAGAGTAAACCTCTCGTGACCAATCGCATTTCTTGTGCAGTCACACTGCCATCCAATCAAGTCTCCCTGCCTTCGTGATTGTCGCTGCAACCCTGCCGCATTTGTATTATCGATGCCTCTCATGGAATGTGCGAGCACCCTGCTGACATGGAAAAAGGAGGTGAATCGGCGCGAGACAAGCACTTCGCATAGTTCTGCTTTACCTGATTATCATCCATCCTCTCTGTTCATTTGTTTCAATTCTCCTACATCAGTTGGACTAATCTCGATAGTGAGCGATGCATCTCTTTACAGTATCCGCAGTGCTGGCGGCTCTGCCACTCTTCATTGGCAACATACGGACCGAGGCAGTCTTTGCGCATTACGTGGTATTATGTTTCATCCTCTTGCAGAGTTGCTGCTAAACTCAAGCGCCAGACTGGTACTGTGGATCAAGACCATGTGCATTAGGACATCGACGATGCGATTGCCCATGGGGTAAGTACGGTTTGTTCCCTGAGCCTGATTCGACCCTCGTGATGGCTCAGACTCGACGGCTTTCCCCTGAATGTTGGCGACCCAGCACAAGAGTATGTTGTGACAAGAATTGGCTATCTTTTCGGATATGCCGCGTGCAAAGATTTCAAACTTCCGTCAGCTTGGACTTTTACGACCAAGATAATTTGCACGACTACCATATTATTCTCCTGGATTACCTTGGCAACACTGCGTGGTATTTGGGGCCAAATGGCAAACCTACAATCTCGATTTTTTCAGACGGTGGACTCAGTATCAATACTTGGACAGGTAGCCCAGGATCCCATTCCGGATCTGAGTCCTTCATTCTGACATACATCATAGCTTGAAAGACAGATCTGCTTCAGAAATGTACTTCATTCCTGACTTTGACCATACTGCAGGCTACTAGGAAGTCGCTCTTGAGGTGAGTCTTGTGTCATAATTATGCTACTTTGCATTGATACCGTAGTGGTGGTCCTCCTGGGGTAATTTAATGGATGGTACATTCAGTTGGGAAGCTGCACGGCCGTTGAAGGGGGGCTTCGGTGGTAGTCAACCCGGAGGAATCTCCCCTGATTTGCCCGTCATTGGTGCCGCCAAATCACAACGCAAGGGTTACATGATGGGTATGCTTGACTCTGATCACTGTGATTAATCACCGCTGACGATCAGGTAGCATTGAGCACGCTCCAGTACAAGAAGGTTGTATATAACTCCTCTTTTCATTGACCAAAGACATTGGCAATCACAGCAGATAGTATGACACCAACGTCTATCGCGCAGGCGATCTCAACCTACTTCTTCGCATGCAGAACACTCTCAGCCTGTCCCCACAACCCGACTTCGTTGGAATTATCACATGGGCAAGTCTGACATCACTCCAGATAAAATTTCAGTCCAATATCTCTCCATAGAATGATGGCCCAGAAAGCCATTACATCGGCAACATCTGGCCTGAGTCAGATGGTGACCCTGAGCCATCTCCGTACGCAAGCCAAATTCGATTCCCACACACTGCATGGCAACCACTCATCACCTCGTTCATCCATGCATGGAAAGCTGGTGGCTCCGCTCCCTCCATGTCCAACCCTTTAGGCACCCAAGCTACTGGAGCACTGTGCTACAAAACGATCTCGCCAAATACCACTTGCCGAAAGGAGGGCCAAGGCACGTACTGGGAGAAACCCAACGGCTTTGAGACCGGCACCAACACGCTCAACTGGGCTGTCATCCTGCCAGCCGGTTCGTCCGGCATGAAGATCCGCGTCATCAGCAATCACATGGTCTGGCAAATCGTGGGCGTCGGGCCGGGACTGACTTTTGGCGCGACTGGTGGAATGCAGGCGGATGAGCAGCATCTTGAGTTGCTGGATGCTGGAGGGAATGTTTTCATGTCGACGACCAGCGGCAGACGCGTCGAGGGTGACTGCCCGGATGGGATTCATAATATGAACTATTACGTTTTGGGCTTGGCTCACGGTAACAATGCTGGCAATGGTTGTGTCAGTATCGCTGTTGGCGCGCTGGGTGGCGGTAAATCTCCCGAGAGTGGGAGTAGTCCATCTTCTGGCGACGTCGGGGTACCATTTGCGGTGGATGGAGGCGCTCGAGCTCCTGTTGGCGGCATTGATTCATCGTTCAGGTCCCAAAGACAGGAATGGGTAAAAGGTCGGAGAGAGACTGACCGCCGGTTCAGCTCCCTTGTAAGAATCGAGGCTGTTGGAATAGCATTCCGGGGCATCTTAGGCTAGCTGGACGATTAGGGTCTTGTGCCTTTAGCTTTCCAGTAGTGTTCTACGTCTAAGATCTCCGGAACAAACATCTACTAATCCAGCGCGAATGGCTACGGGGAAATGATAACACCACAATTTGGCTCGAGCGTAAGATGATCTTGTAGGTCCTTGGCTCTCTGGACACGGAAACATCCTGAACATTACGAGCTTGATGCAAGGCTCAGCTCCATCAAGTCTACCGATGACAGACTACTACTCTAGCTCGACTGAACCCGATTCCGCCGCTCTATCCCAACCCGCCCTCCCCCCCTACCGCTCCACTTGTCGCAACTCAATCATCACTTATCTTCAACCCCCCCACCGCCGCTGGCATCCCCCCGCCACCCTCGCTCCCACCCGTGCGTTTCTCCTCCCTCTCCGGGTCTGGGTATTTCTTGAACACGTTCCTGCAGTCCTCCACCATGGTCTTGTAGAACCCGAGCTCTTTCCGAATCGCGCCGAGGTAGCGGTCGAGGTCCTCGATTTGGATCTTCAGTCGGGTCTGTGGGGGTGGGTGAGAGTTGGATGGGTGGTGGTGGTGCGGAGGCGGTGGGTTGGGGGAGGGGAGGGGCAGGGGGGGTTGCTTACGATGGTGTGTTTCAGTTCGGATATCTCGGCGGACGTGTCTTGTCTGTGTTCCATCTTGTCGCTTGGCTTCACGTTGGGTCTGATAGGCCGGGTTATGGGGACTGTGATGGATGACTTTCTTGATGTTTTTTTTAAAAAAGGGTGCGCGTGTCAACGGACTTTGCTGTGCGGAGCTGAGAAACGAGGAGGCTCGAACGCGCTTTCATATTGTCTCGAGTGCGTGATGTTGTTTGACCTTGCTGGCAGGGTCTCGTCAGCGGAAAGGCATGGTGACGTGGCGAGGTCGATCTGGGATGATGGGATCGTGCGTTGGCGCAAACCTGTGGCTTTGGGCAAGGAAATTATCAAGCGGAAGGAACGCAAATCCAGTGGCCATCGATCCGGCGGCCGAGTTTGATGGGGGAGATCATAGTGTCTCGTTTCGTAGTCGGGATCGTTCAAGCAAACGAACGGTTCCGCCGCAAGTACCGTTGTCCTTTGCCCACCGGGTTTACGTCGTTGTTTGGAGACGGGGCTGTTTGGACATGATTGAATCTGACCGGCTTCGCGTGAACGCTCGATCTGCTGTTGCGGGTTTTCTACGCCCCAGACATTGGCCCCGGGTTTGTTTTGAGGAAATTGCGTCGCCTCGGGAAGGCGAGCTGCTTCTTTTGATGACTGCGTGGGTTTCGAGAGTTTGATAGGATTATGTTATTTGGGCGTGTCTGACGAGGATTGGAGTTGAGTGCGAAGGGCGCTGTTGGAGAAAGGGAAAAAAGCAGAGGGATTGGAAGCGTCGGTGAGGTCTTGGAAGTAAATTACATATTAATTCGGTCAGGGGCTTGAGCAATATGCGTTAGTACATCAGAAGATACCAAGTGCTTGGTGAGTGGGCTGTCAAAGTAGATCGGAATTCCATCCGGGGGAGTGAATCCCCAAGCTAAGCCCGGAGGGTGCTTGAGGGTGGACTTTTCGTGGGGTACAAGGACCGGAAAGGAGACGAGGACTTCCAAGGAAGAATGTAGGCTAATACATGGGACTCGGGCGGGGAGTATCGAGATATCGCGTTTATGAAGGAGGGATGTGAATTGTGCAAGCTGGGAAGAGCGGCTCCGGAAGCAGCATTTGTGAAATCCCTGACCTCGAACGTTATCCCCGCTCAGCAGGAAAGCTTTATATACAGCAAGCTTTATCGGGCCATCAAGATGCCCTAGTAGGCTCCGTGAAAACAGGTCCGTTACTCCTCCATTACCTCCACCGTTCCGGTCGTCCCGGGCTCCTCGATCAACATTTGCCGTTGATGCAGATCCTCTCATCCGCATCCGCCCCCATTTTTGGAGGGCCATCGTCGATGCTTACTAATTCGCTCAGTTCGCTCACCTCGCTCAGTTGGCGGCTGACCAACGATCTGATGGCATCTATTACACTGTAAGCTCATGGTTTAAGGATGAAGTTGAAGAAGTCATACCTAAATGTAAAGGGAGGGTAAAGGCTGGAGCCGCGAGGAGGAGGATAGTGTAGATGATTGTGGTGGTACGCATTTTGGTAGGCTTGGCAGAATTCTGGCTGGCGGGAATGGTAGAGGTTTGAGACGTGGCGATGTTGGTGCGCCAGGGGTGGATTGGGCGGCAATGGTAGACTGTGTTAGCATGGGCAGATGTGCGGGTATATATGTTTGAGGAGGAATTGATCTCCTACTAATAATAGACTTTTGATATCAGGCTTGCCGAGATTCGAAGGGAGCTGGAATTGTTCGTCAAACTCGTCCAAGATTTGGGGGCGGAGGCAGCCGTGATTGTGCACTGTTTCTCGGTCGACATTCTTCTGCTGCATAGCTGGGGATGATGGGTCGCACTGTTTCACGTATGCGGCGCGGACAAGGTGGTTGGGAAGAAATGCTCTGTTTTGTTGCGACTAGTAAATGCAGAGCGGGAATTGGTGAATTGTTGAAACGGGTTGTGCCTTGCATGAAATCTCCTAGTCTCTTTTTTGTTTTTCACAAACGTAGCATATGGTCAAAGAGTTCTTAAAGCTGGTATTCGCGCACCAATTAAAAAAGCTCGATAGGTCAGATATCCCCGAATGAACGTGCCCCGGACCTCCTACGAAGCCGAGATCATGCAGGTGACCTTGAAACTCCGCACGACACCGATAGTGGACTTCACGACGTCAAGTCTCCCTCTCTACGAGCGAGAGCATGAACAATGATGTTGTCACTGGAATCATCGAACAGCGTATTCCAGAACGCATTTCCTGCTTTATCAAGCTTCCAGGCCCCAGATCGCTTTTCTGAAGACCCTGCCCACCTTGAAGGTTGCCCATAAGGCAGACATTGAGCGGAATCCCTGCATTCCGTACCGAGGTGATGGTGGAGCACCGAAGCTGGTGAGATATAAGGGCAAATTCCACGCCGCGCACCGCCGTAAGAACGGAACAAGTGAAAAGGGGGTCACTCGCGATTGATTTCCTGCAAATCTCAGCCTCCAGGATATTTGCAGGATGTTTGCAGGCTGTTTGACGGCGATTTATCTGGAGGATGCTTTGGGTAAGAGAACTTACAAGACCTTGAGTGGGTAAAGTGGCGCTGAGGTAGCGTCATTCCGGCGCGTTTGCTTGGAGCGCTTGTCGCCTATAATATTTAGCGTCTAAGATAGCGCCATCTTCACGTTTCACCAAAGTACAGTAGGTACCGTTCACCAATTCCAGCCTCCTTCCAAACCTTCTACGGCGTTTCAAAATTGAGCGATAAAGTCTCCTTAAAACGGCGCGGGGGCCGAAACTGGATCCTATGGCGAGGCCAAGATGGCATCACCCGTCAACTTTCAAGCTCAGATGACGCTCAGCCTCCAATCAAATCCGCTCTGATGTTGAAACGAATCTCGACGTGAGCTACCGTAAGTCAACGTGGCTCCTTCGGCTTCCAACCAACCGGAAGATTACATTTACATCCTTAGGTGACGTTGGGTAACTTGATGGTCAGTGGCACAGTGGCACCTTCGAATTGTTAGCCAGATATGCCGGTGGGACGGGTTCTCGCATTGGTCAGGTTTCACCTTCGTTTCTTGCGTTGTATCTCGGACGATTGCGTAGCTAAATTTGGAAGAATTTGTTCGCCGTTGCACGAGCGCCATGGAACCACAGCTTGGAGTCATGTGGGCTAGATTACCCCGAACACCTTTCTGTGGCCTTGCCTCCCTGGACCACGACTGGGGTGCTGGAAATGCCTTTAATCAGCCCTTCCCACTGGCCCTACCCGAATTTCGTCAAGTTTCTCGAGACTGCCCTTCGACAGCTTCTTCAATTGAGGTGTAGAAGCTTTCCAGTCTTTCCATAGATTAGTGAGCTGTTGTGATCATCGTGCTTGTCTTCCTCGCAAGAACACTTTGTCCATTGCCAATTTCCGATTCTCGCCATGGCGGATTCAGCTGGCAAGATGTATGCTCTCGCACTTGTGCTGAGCCTTCTCACCATCGTCGTAACCGCCCTGCGTTTTTATGCTCGACGCATGAAGCAGGCTGCGCTTTCATGGGATGATTATATGATTCTACCAGCGTTGGTATGTTGAGCCGTGCTCCAAATCCCCAGTAAGTGTTGAGATATTCGAAGCTAATACCGAGACAGCTTCTCACAATTGGCACGGCGGTTTGCATGTTGGTTGGTAAGGATCGGCGATTCCAGAGACTGTCCGCCTACTCTCTGACCCTCAAAAGGTACTTCAATTGGCAATTTAGGACAGCACACGGGAATCCGAGAAGACGGATTTCCAGTTTTCGACCATCGCTTAGAAGTCTTCGAACAAGTAAGTTCTGTTCTTCCAATGCCTCCTCGCAATGCTGAAAGTGGGGACAGATAGTTTTCGCGACGCAACTTACGACAACACTGACTTTCGGGTTCACGAAATTGTCTGTATTGCTTTTCTATAAAAGGTAGAGCTACTCTCATCGACATGTCCACACCAGCTCACAGGTGCCGTCAGGATCTTCAAAGGCACTTTCGTCAAACCATCTGTGTGGACTATGATTGGTGTCGTCGTTGTCTGGACACTTGGCTTCTTCTTCGCCAACCTGTTCCAATGCTGGCCCTTATGGATCGACTGGACCGATTTCGGCTTTACGCCTCAGAATTGCATCAACACGAACGCAATGTATCTGGCTCAAGCTTGGTCAGATGTTCTCACGGATTGTAAGAAGTGTCTTGCTTCGGGCTTATCGTCATCTAACTTCAAACAGTAATCATCCTGACTTTGCCGCTTCCATGTGTAAGTTCCCCTTCTTAAATCACGTTGATATTTGCTGATGTGCTTCCAGATTTGGGTAATGCAACTGCCTGCAAGGCACAAGGCTGCTGTCAGTGGCATGTTCCTTCTCGGAGGACTGTAAGTTGCGGAACGTGTAGGCGATCTAAAAGCATGCTTATCAAGTCACAGGACCGTGGGAGCGGGTATCGCGAAGCTCGTAGTTTTCAACAAAGTTGTTCAAGGTGCGTCTCCAACTTGTCGTCATCAATGCGGTGGGTTCTAACCCACCACATGCAGAATTGGACCTGGGATTCTTGGACATCAGCTGTATGAACCTCCAAAACCATGGATTCATTTCAAGTCTAACATCAGTCTGCAGACATGAACACACCCCTGGTATACTGGCCAATGGTCGAGTCTTGCATGGGCGTTGTCGGCGCCTGCCTGCCATTATTGCGGCCCCTCTTCGTTGGTGCTTCTTCAAACGGCTTCATGCGCAGCCTAAAGAGCGTGAAGATAGCCTCGCTCAACTTGAACGAAGACGCACTGAAGCAACTCGAAGACGATTCGCCAGGAGCGCCAGGTTCAACTACGGCGTTTACAAAGTTCGGATCCGAGTCTACAGTGGTGCCATCCAATGCCGAGTACAGCTCGTAAGTCCAAATGCTTCATATGTTGATCTAGGATACAGCTGACTTGTGTCCTTGTAGCTATGAAAATATTGCGCCGAAGGCCCACCGGATAGACAGTCTTGACAGCCTGAAACTTGATGCCGAGAAGGATACACATCTAAATGGGGCTCGTCGTGGTGATGACTACGTATAAACGTTGCTAATATCTTTTATGATTGAATTCTTCCTTTCATATCTATCAGTGCTATATAATGTTGATCAATCTGAGATCTTCTCTCTCTACGCACCACCACCACCGGGTTTTAGCTTTCCGATATCTACTGCCTCGGATTCAAAAATATCTAGATTCACACATGTTCACTGCGTCGTGCATCTCCAACACTTTAAACCCATATTTTCCATTCTCTTAGCATCATTAGCCTTTTCACCATGACGAGTCTCATGTGATAGATGAAGATATGGCCCACAAGACGCACCCAAGAAGTCTTGATGCTTTTTCCGGACCTGCAGAACAAGCCACGGCATCGAGGGTATGTCCGCAACAACGGCTCTCTAGAAGCCATCCAAGATCGTGAAAGTCGCTGCCTTGCCTTACATCATGATCAGAAGCTGACTATGCCAAATATTGGTTCGAGAAATTTCAACGGGCAATGTGTAGAAACCCTTCACGAGATTCATGGATGACTGTCTCTCGCACAGCGTCTACGTCTACGGCAATAACAAGCCACTAGTATACTGAGTTTGGGCAAGGTGAGTACCTCAGCACAACCGACTCGAAAGCTTCGGATCTCTTTGCAGGTAGAAAGGTTCGAGGCCGATGCACCTGTCAAGCCAACACGTGCACCTCGCATCGCACCCTCCAACCTCAAGCGGGAAGGAAAGAAGACAGCCGATCTGAGGACCTTGCCGACCCTCGGCACGGCACTTGAACATACAGTTCCAACACAGCGCTTCACGCAGACAGGCCCGGGTATCTCGACGCTTGGTATCTCAAGCACAACTGCATAAGCTGCGTGAGTGGGAGCATCCCAGTAGTTGTCCAAGGTGACGTCGACGCTCCCCTTTGCGTGCCTGGCAGCCACGTGTACCTTGTCATATCGGTATGGGAGTAATGTTGGGGAATGTTGAAGTGAAGCTGGCGGTGGGGAAAGAGTGAGTGAGCTGTTAAGGATGTAATGGTAAGCTCGAGACCGATGAGTTAGGCATAGCTTCCAAACCGACATCGTAGCACGTCTGAAGACTCCTATCGACCAGATAGGTTGTGAGATAACGATGGCGAGACACTCGTGGTAGGTCGTCATTGTCGCCCGTTGCGTCCAGATGAAGTTGATCATCAGGCAGGCGCGGAGCATCCTCTTGCGGGTTGTGTTGTCGGATAGTTGAGTTAGGGAGGCGTGTTTTAGAAGACCGATGTTGGAAAATCGCAAGGGTGGGAGGGCGTGTAGACTTTTTTGATAGAAGCGTTTGAGGACGTGAATTGTGAGCAGTGAGAACGTGCGTTGAAGAAAGGAAACTGCTGTTTTTTGATACCAGCGTGGTTGACCCCCATTCGGTGCGTGTCAGGAAAGGCCGCCGCTCGCGTCTTCTATTGTCTGAGCTCCCCGTCCGCTTCGCGGGAGTTACGGGGCTTGCCAGACGACGCTTCCAAAGGCCCCGGACTTCCAGTTGCGTCCCGGCCCAGCGGAGGTTGAAGGGTGTTTCGTAAACCCTTTCCAGTCGCTGGTGGTAGTCTGTATCCTTCAGCATAGAGAGCACAAGACACGTGGCAGAGCCAGATGAGGACAAACGAGCTGAGGATGCCTCCGTGCTCCGGAGACGACGTTGTATCCGTTACGCGTCGCAAGGCGAGAAGCGAAAATTCCATTTGCAGTATGAGGAGAGGCAGGTGGGACGCTTGAGAGGTTCGCAGAGCCGCCAGCGCCGTGATGGTGGCGACACAGAAACCGGCTATTGGAATCATAGCAGCCATGGCGGTCTCGAGGGACATTGTCGGGCGCGCAGAGTCTAGAATTCTCCGCTGGAATCCCGTTCATTTGGGTCGTTTTCACGCGATTATTCTGTTGATAAGGTTTTGCATACATTTTCTAATGTTTGTTCTTCAAAGATTGCACTGTCCGATGGAACACAGCGCCGTTCAATATTAGTGACCCAATTTGGGATCTTTAGTCTGCGCTCGCTGAAGCGGATTTCAAAGATCCGGGAGGATTGCGACGAAGTCTTGCGACACTATTTCAACCGTTTGGGGTGGCTTCCGCGTTTCGAAACTCGGGCTTTGAATGTTCAAAGTCCCCGCCCAGTAGAGAATATCCGGCAGCATTTTGAGAGTCCTGGGAAGGCTTTGTACGGTCGACGTTGAATGTACTATGCACCAACAAGAGGATGATGGCTACTAGAAACCATTAGGACGAACTCGCAGCTTAATGATGGTCTGATGAAAGTTGAGATAATTTTTGTACAAGATGGTAGAAGATGGTGGCAGGAAGAGGCGGGATGACTATAATAAACGAATGAGACATTGCGAAGGCTCGACCGTTGTAGAACTTTTGGGGGTTGCTTGAATTGCGATATAAAGCCCGCCAGACCCCTCTAATGCCATCTTCTCTTTGACAAACGTGACCATGGTATAGTGTAAACATTCCAATTTTCTGTCACCTATCTCACCAACATCATGCTCCTACCACGCGAAACCTTCCTCCACATCTTCTATTCTGGATCGTAATAGTCGTCTGAAGTCATTCTCATCATCATACGAGGTCCGCCATGATGAAAGCCAACGCCATGGGCCTCATCCCCCTCGTTTCCTTCCTAGCCCTCATTCAGCCATGTCCATCTTCCGTTCAGTGCGTACATCGTGGCCAAAGTCGTCGATAAGTCGGTCTATGTGAGCCCAAAGCAAATGTTAGCGAACTCACCAAATGCAGTCGAAATAATGGGAGGGTCATGGACATTGAAGCGGCAATGGATATCGGTATGAAACAAAAAACCAGACGAGGTTGCTGCGAGTGGAAATGGCGGTTCTTTTGCCAACACTTGCGGGGCCGGGTAGTGATAGATTGCGGCAACAGATCGAGTTCGTGGCGAACAACTATGGTCTCATCGTTGAGACGCGGAATCAGCATACGTTTATTGAGCAGCTCAGCCGGTTTTATGGCTCCGTCGCTGTGATTAATGGCAGCACGACTGCGATGAAGGATGTGCCGTATTACACGAAAATCGCTCTAAAGGAGGCTGCTGCGAAGAGAGCAGGTCTTTGACGTTGTTCGAAATTGAGACTTAACATGCCGGCTGCCATTCATCCTTGTCCCGTAATCTGAGGCTACAAGTTGGGATGATCGCTATTTTGCAGACGTTCTTGTCATCCATCTATATAGAAACAACTTTCTCCATCCATTCTCGATACCAACATTAGCAAACCGAGTCAACAACAGAACCATGGCCGTAAGCGGTAGTGCTACAGCGAAGTACACCCTGAACGTTTCCACTAACGTCAAAAGGTCACTGTTCATACTGAACAGACCTGTGATGAATGAAAGAGGCGCAAAAGTAATCGCGAGCCAAGTCAGGCGAGCGAGACTGCGGTTCTGTTCGAAAGCTTTCTTGCTTTCCTCGATTGACATCACTGCCGTGACGACCGACATGATCCTGTCAGCGCGGACCTGTAAATTTTCAATGTTGGACAGAAGGATCTCGAAATCACTTTGGAGATCATGCACACGGTTATCCGGGCTGGACGCGAAGTGCTCACGCTTGACGACCTTCTCCAGCACTTCCAACACAAGGGTACGGAAGATGGGGAATCTTCGTCTCCAACTGTGTAACTTCCCGATGGTGACTTGTAAGCCACCGTTATCCCCTTGCAGATCCGGATTCTCGATCTCCCATTCTAGTTGGGTGAGGCGAGTTGTGGCGTACTTTACTAGTGTAGACCATTCCGCGCCGACGATCATGAGTGTCTTCTTGAAAAGCAGACGCGGATCTCTCGGTATACTCGTGATTTCTTCAGGCGTCAAGGCGCTGGTGTAGTGGATGACATCTTCGAACGTGGATATTCTTGATGGTCCTCTTGGAACGGGAAGCACAGTCATGGACGGGCAGTCGACAAGATTACGGTAGCCGCCCCAAATTGGGAACCCCTCAGATATCGTGGGGTCCACCAGTAGGATGCCTAGTCAAGAATTCTTGTCAGCTTCCGAGATAAAGAAAGGAGTCGCGATGAGGGAAAGGTTGGAAATGAGACCTACCAAGCACACCCTTCTCTCCAGGCTTGTTGGGTCTGATCCAAAGAGACGTCCTACTTCGAACCAAGCCAACATCAGATTTGGGAATATCAACATCAGGCACCCAATTGCCATCTTTGTCCACTCTTCGCAGTACGTTGAAGCCTCCTGCTTCCCACCTGGCCCTCATTAGGCTATCTTCGCTCCGGAAGTACCTTGTTTGCACATATCGGATGTGAAGATAGGAACGCTTGCGCGATATAATGTCCAGGTCCGGAAGCTCGACCCAAGGATCTCGGGTGTTGTGCCACATGTAGTCGGATATATGGCCTCGGAAGAAGAGGGGGTCGACATCGAATCGGGCACCTAAAGCCTCGATGACGTCTCGGGAGAGGTCTTCGACTACGAAGAGCCTGGCGTGGACATCATCATGTTTATGTTGGCTTCTATTGAGAGCATAATATAGGTCGATGATGTTTGAAAAGTCATCTCGGTGCACTGCAGCATTAGGCTCGAAGGTCAGCATAGCAACCTTGGTTCTGCTCGCCCTCTCTCTTCTGTCTTGATCGTTGAGAAACTTCTGTTTGGGTGGAGCCGCTGTCACTTTCATGAAGTCGGCGAGATAAGAAATATGTGGCCATCCTTGAGCGAGGGATTCAAGGTATCGCATGTAAGGTCCCGAAGCTCTGTTTCACATCAGCCTGGCCTCGATACACTTACGACAGACTCTGAGACTGACGTAGCGGGATGCTTAAAGGGAAGAAGACGTTTCTCTATCAGTTCTCCGGACTGCCCTATGCGGCTCGGTTCATAAACATCGCCAATATAGTAAGAGTCCCCAGCCTCAAGTGTATGCGGCAGTATATGAGAAGGCGGAGATAGATATGGTGTCCATGGGCTATGGAAGGCGGGGTTCCAGCCATCAGGCTTAGAAGTCATTGATGTAGAACTGATTGAGAAGACACTGAGTGATGGTTACACTGCGCTCAGGTGATGACTTATCCAAACCGGAGACTTGGCATCGTAGTGATTTGATGAGCGGAAAGTTGCTTGGTTGAGGGATGAGGGATCAAGTCAACATTGCTTCACGATGAGAGTACAACGAGATATAAATGTGGAAAGAGCTGAGGTTGCCCTTGATCTTGATGAGGCTGTGAGGCGGCAAGGCTGTCTGTCATAAGGTAATCTCGAGGCTGAAATTTTAGTAAGGCTACACCGCTAACCCGATGGAGAACACACAGCCCCAGTGACGCACAGAAGAAGTCCTCAATAGTCTGTACAATAACTTATGAGTATATCAACATCGGGTGAAAAACTTCAACAACTTCCGCTACTTGTAAGTGGTCGTTGTGCATGTCACTCTACATAAACTCAGAGCAACAAGCATTACCTAGCCCACGATCAATTCCCTTCTTTCTGTCTCGTCAACACTTTGCAGACGAAAGAGTCAACGACTTGTGACTTCGACCCTGCTATGCATGGATTTTTTCGACTGTGACCCAAAGCAAGCGAAAAGACCCTATTGCGAAGGAACTTAGGCCATGAGTTTTACTGAATCCTCTCCTTGCTTTGTTCCTCCTGTGGACAAACACACTCTCAATATCTCGACCCTTCCAGAAATTACTTAAAACATTGCTGGTATCACTGCCTGAAGATTGCTACAGCAATCTTTGTTCAGCGCATTGCGAATAGATCTCTGTTTGTCTTTGTGCTTGTGTTGGTTGATTTCATAAATAAGCCCAGCGGCCCAGATCCCAAATCCTCAAAGTTGTATCATCAATACGTAAGGAGGAAAAGATTGTGCACAATGGCAGACCAGGATCCAAAAATTACCCTCCTCCGAAGCAAGCTAGCCCTCTTGATGGGCCGGGAGGAATGTCCAGTGTACGACTCGATCAAGGCGCAGCATCCACATGCGCTAGAAGAGCCGTGGTCAGAAGATATGAGCGGACCTCACAAGCGTGTTGGTAGGTGGATCGCGGCCATAGGCCGGAGTGCTGTCCTTAGAACTAGCAACTCGCTTACCTATGAAGCAATAGTGTTCAACAACAAAACCTTCGCAATGCACCAAGTCCTCACCCAGGAGGAAGCCTACAAGCGCACTTTCCAACCCCACGCAATTAACTGTGGCGAAAACATTAAGCTGCATCGTCAGTAAACCGTCTGAGTGCCAATCTAGAGCATCTGCTTACGCGGTAATAGTCGACGACAACCTTTTCCGCGATCTGGAGCAGGCCGAGACTATGGACCTGAGCACCTTGAAACGATCCGAGGCGATCACGAGGAGGGCCGTCAAGAGCAAGTGGTTCTATGCGTTGACGGGTTGGGTGAATGAGATCAACGGTGGGCCAGGGAAGATGGGTCCCTCACCGAGTGACAATATCACGATAGAGGGAAAGGAGGATGCGAGCATGAGTAGTAGGAAGCCAGCATAGCCTAAGCGCAAACTGACAGTAAGGCAGCTCGTTAGGCAAAGCTTCTTTTGTGAATGGGACACCGGCAATCGGTGGTGAAGGTAGTGCAGGACAGAATTCAGAATTGAGCTCCCCATACTGAAGTACAAATCTTTGTTCCACAACTTCGTTTGAGATTGTAAGGACGCAAAGCTTGTTTGCTTTAGGTTGGTGATTGTTCCAAGGCTGTACGAGATAATTGGGCTCTTGTCATTTTTTCAATGGTGTGACGGCCGGTTACAATATTTCCGAGCATGGTGGGGCATCGAGTGGACCACCAGGCAAAGCTATGTGTATATCAGCAAGCTAGATGCCCAACACCTCGATCAAGCTTAACTGCGACCTCAGTGAGCTTCATCAATCAATCTGTATCTCCAGAAGCCTTTGGTTAAATTTGGCCCGTGAGTAGAGCAAGTTTTTCGACCGTGAAACGCATTAGTCTTGCATCCTTACTGACGTTCACACCAGAAAATAGAGCTGCTACCCCTAATTTCCGAAGAAATTTTAATTTACAAAGATGTGTTTGCAGCCAGAGAAGCACATTGGGGAAGAGCTCTGTGGAAGACTCTCAACGGTGCCTCGACTAGCGACGCCGCCTGCTATGAGGCTTGCAACACCGGAAAAGCGCTTCCCTGGCACCTGTCCCCACTGGCTTCGCTCCAGACGCTCGTATATGTTTTCTGGGTCATGGAGCATCCTAATCTTAAGCAACAACGGCGATGCAGACCCAATACCATATCTGAGTCGCAAATTTTCCTACTTGAACCTCTTTGTGAACTCCCGAGACAAGTTTGGAAATTCCTGAACTCTAGAACCATCGTGACTACCGTGCCCGTCTTAAAGGACTATTTGCTGACTAGAGTGTTCATCAATCCAGGTGGAAGATAGGCTTTCGATGGGCGGGGTATGACGTTTTTTGGAGGGAAATGGTTGATATTCAGCTTGAAAATGGCTTTGAATCTTCCGTAATTTGATTTCCACACCAGAAACGAATGACCATCAGAAACAAACGATAATATTGAGAAGATCTCGTTGCCTAGTACCTGTCTCTGTTGTTGTTAAGTATGCGTGCTATCTACTGAGCAAGGTTTTGAGTTTCTCCTAGCTTCATCTCATACCTTCAAGCGTCCATCGAAAAGTTGATGTAAGAACCCAGATAGAAAATCTGAACTGCACCACGATAATTGGCTGAATCAACTCGCAGCCCTAGTCCCCACCCTGGATCCCTTTGCCAACCCGCTCCGACGTGAATAACTAGAACCAAGGCGAAGGCAGAGTTTCTTCAACGTTGTCTATTATCCGGCCGGTGATCCATGTGAGCCAACGCTCAGGCCTAAGTACTAGCCGCTATCGGTAGAGCCACTCGTATGCGCGTTGCATAACGCCAATTCTAACGTCGCCCATGCCTGCCTCTGCGAGTCCTCGAGAGACGGCTTGGACAGATCTGGGACGGTCCATGACCTGACTTGCCATGTACAAGCTGCCTGCCGCAACAGCAACCACAGAGTGACCACCTAATGATCCGGAATGGTGAACCCTGTCCGCGATGAACACGGCCAGAGTAATGACCCCAGTGGGGAGAGAGAGGCGGTGTCCTAGCACGGCGATCCGTTCAGACAGCGAGATGGCTATCTGCATGTGAGTCGCCTCGGGTTGGAAAAATTCAAGCCGGCACACGGGGCAGGTGTTGTTGCTGCGTTGATCACCTGTCGGGGTCAGCCAGGTCGATATGCATTCGGAACCAACGATGTGGTTGCAGGGGAGACGGACTGCGCGCTCGATAATGCCGTTGGGGGAAGGGGTGGTGCCATACTCTTCCAAGCAGATGGAGCAGTGCTGGTCTTCTTTACTTAGGATTCCGCGGCCAACTTTGGGTAGGCGGGCAAGGAATTTGGAGGCCATGGTAGGGTGGGTGAGGAGCGTGGGGATGGAAGTTCGAAGTCGTTGGTTGGTAAAGGAAGTAAACTTGTGAGATGGTAGGGATGTATACGTATGAAAATCAAGAAGGATGGGACAGATGAGAACTGAGAGAAGTGGAATAACGGGTGTTGAGCTCGGGAAGTGGTGTTGTGAAATGAAATGCTCTAATATCAGTGTATTTTACCATTCTTGTTGGAGCCTAGGAGATAGTGTTATACCAGGTCGAACTGACGGGGAAAGTTGCCGAGGGTAGTTGCACAAAGACGTTGCTACATTTCGAGCTTCGTGGAGTCAAGACGTATGAAAGGCACGGATACCGCTGGATTGGGGAGTGCAGGGGAGCGTTTAGGCTAGTCAATACCACAATGTTGGTTAACGGGCTGGGTTGGTTGATGCCACAGAGCTGGCCTCGAGTTCTACTCTTCCGGGATTTGGTAGCATTGCGGATACGAGTTATGACGCGGCTGCGGCCAGAACTGGTGCTGTATATATGTAGTACTTCTCGCCGTCGGCGGTAGGAAGCTGAGGTATGTAGCCTGAAGTGCGGAGTAGATGGTTCCTTGTGAGCATTTCACTGCCGACCGCATTTTTGGTTCTCGGAGCGCACCCCATTGAAAAAGTACACTCCATTAGTCCTAAGGCGACATATTCATGAGACCCCCGCAGTATCTCTAGTAGCCCTTTGCACATAGGTTGGATTCATGGAATCAGCAGACTGGCATTTATATGGCTGTCAGTTGGCTGAGTTACGGAGGCACAAAACGCAAATTCGATTTCGGCAGGTCATGAGCCGATCAACGAGATATCCAAAAAATATATTGTAGCTGGCGGCATGGAATCGTCTTGCCAAGCCTTTGTTGTAGAGCTAAATCTGATCAAGTAACAAGCCCGTCTCTAGCTCTAGGGCTTGATTACTCATAGCCCTGAACTAACAAAGGATAAGGGCTTCGCTCTTCTGTTGTTTTGAAGGGTTTGATGATCTCTTCTCCTCAAGTAATGCTCAACATGGCGACGACTGATTCATCGTGCCACCATCAGTCACGCGCCCAATATTATACAAGTACCATACCGACCTTCACTCTCCTTCGCAACAAGAGAAGCTCGCCGCGCAGGCAGTATCCGCTCCCACACCTCTCGCGTCCTCGATTCTGAACTTATCCGCCCACCCGCTAGCCGTGGAGAAAACAGTCTTAGTCCTTGACACGACCAGGAGGCAGTGCCTTCACATCCCACTCCCACTTCATGATTCGAGCAGTGGCTCGCGAGACTGAAATACTTTTGGTGGAGGAGCTTATGAATGCCGAGGAGTTGGATAAAGAGAGCTCAGAATACGCTGGCGGACTGGGAGTAGATGCCTTGAGAAAAGACACAGCGCACTTGTAGGAGGGTCGAAGCCTGGAGAAGAGAGATTGCAAGCTTGGTGTTCGTTGGAACGCAGGAAAAGAGATAGTGCGAGTCTGGTCAAGACCATCATACCTGGAGAGGTCACACTACGAGTTTGGAGCAAGACAGAGGCGTGGAGAAGTGATACTACAAATTGAGAGATGGTACGATGTTAGGGAAGAGGTTCCTCAAGCCTGGAAAAAGGCGAAGGCGGTGTTTATGAGCTTCGTACCCGGAGAATGGGAATCTTGGGGAACTCAGGAAAACAAGGGCCGATATGGGCTGTCGGTGGGCTCAGCTTCATAGACTAAGGCTGGTCTCCGATTGGAAATGTAACGATCTGAAGACCTGCGTGACGCGACAGTCAGATCAGCAATTCTTCGGAAGCAGAGAGTAATGATGTGCTCGCAGAATTATTACTCTTACAGAGCTGGATTCGAAGTGCCGGCGAAAAGGATCAACAGATGCACTGGTTATCAGCTCCAAGTATCGATCCATCCATGACTGAATACCTGATGCATCGTAGGCCCTCAAGATATTCAGAGCCGGGACCGTTTACTCTTTACTCTCAATAAACGAGACTTGGCATGCAGGTGTCCTCCCCCTCTCGTTCTTCCGGCAGCAATTGAAACATCGGTGCATGGTTAAAAGCAAGTTGCCGCTCTTTTACATCGCTAGCAATCTTCCATCTCTTGACATCACAACATAAATAATTTCCAGCGCCTTCGACTCTTTTCGCTTCTGCACATCTCCTTCAAGCTAGGCAACAGTGTGTCAAGGGCTCAAGTAACACTCAAGATCCCACGTAGAAGTCAGAGAAGTTTAAAAAAGCGGTCAGATTGACAGACAGGCACTGACAGATTGTCAACACAATTGAACCGAGCTTAAAAATCACACCTCGCAGCGTCACCAGTCAGCATCTAAGTTCCATCAATTCAAACGCTGAATCCATCTACGGCAGCAGCATATTTTCAAACCTCATCACCTGTAATCTGGGTCCATTCTTGTCAGTCCACCTCACGCGCAGCTCGTCATGGCCATCCGCGAGACTGGCACCGTCAAGGTGAGCTCATCTTCCTCCGTGCATCATTAGGCAAATTTAACAGGACACCAGACATGGAATGAGAAGGGATTTGGATTCATCGAGCGCGATGGCATGGGCGACAGGTAAACTTCCCATCGCTCCGCCCTCCCCTCCTTCAAGGTGCCCTAGCTGGACATCAGATACTTACACATCGCTCTAGCATCTTCGTCCACGCGCGTGACACCGCCGATCGACAAGCACTGATCCCTAGCTCCAAGGTCTCTTTCATTTACGAGGCTGACGAGAAAGGCGGCAAGGCGAAAGAGGTATCTATCGAGGAGATGGCAGAAGCTGTTGTATCGGACGAAGGGCCAAGAGAGACAGGCACAATCAAGGTACGCCTCATAGCCTCATCGCATCTTAGTCTGCGCTTGATACATACTCGTGGCATTCTATGGAATGATGATGCCGTTGAGAGGCGAAGGCTGACGAGTTTGGATGCAACAGCGCTGGAATGCAGACAAGGGCTTCGGATTCATTGGACGCGCGAATCGAGAGGCGGAGTAAGCCTACCTGTGCCGTTATATTTCTATCTTTTCTTGCTTTCCTCTTAGCCCTAATCGACACGAGGCTGACTGTCATCCGCAGTGCTTTCTTTCACAAGAGATCATTTAGTGGACACGACGAGCCCTACGTTGGACAAGCGATCTCGTTCGTCTATGGAGAAGGACTCAAGGGTGCAGTCGCTACTAAAGTCAAAGTCGAAGAGGGTGGGTCGGCTATTCAGGAAGCTCCTGTTGAAGATGATGGAGATCGGGAGATGGGTACGGTGAAGGTATGCGTCACACCAACATAACTTGTGCTCGAAACTGCTAGTTGGCTATGCTATTCGTAAGGAAAATTTTTCGTTGACAAAGGACTGTGACATAGCGCTGGAATGTTGAGAAGGGTTTCGGCTTCATTGGACGCGTGAGCGGAGAAGAGGAGTAAGCCCACTTGTTCCCTTCCCCCACCCCCAGTTTTTATCACCGAGATACAAATCTGACTGCCTACCGCAGCGCTTTTTTTCACAAAAAATCCTTCGCCGGCAGCGACGAGCCATATGTCGGCCAAGCTGTCTCGTTCGTTTTCGAGGAAGGACCCAAGGGTGCAGCGGCAGTGAAAGTGAGGGAAGAAGAAGGCGGTGTCGCTAAGGAAGAAGAGGAAGAGGGGTGCCGAGAGATGGGCAAGGTCAAGGTATGCAAGTGGCATTCACCAACACACGCCTCCTTTTGCAAAATCGTCATACTGAACCTTGGCCAACCACTCCTCAGACGTACAATGAGGAGAAAGGCTTCTCCTTTATTGTCAGATGCTTTGACGGCACCGAGATCTTCGGCCACAAGCGCGAATTCCCTCAGGACATCGAGCCCTACATTGGACAACCTGTCTCCTTCGTCTACGAGGTTACTGAAAAGGGCGGTACTGCCAAGAAGGTACTGAGTCATATGCAGCAAGCTTGAGTCGGGCTGATAATGTGACCAGATTCGTGAGGAGGATATCGTTCCAGATATTCCATTTTCAGATGAAGGCCGCGACTTCGGAACCATCAAGGTTAGCAACTTTTTCACAAACCTGGTCAAGTTTTGATCCTCATTATACTACAGAATTTCAACGCCGAAAAAGGCTTCGGCTTCATCGTTGCACGCAAAGGCGGCGAAGAGTACGCACCCCTCCAACCGTGACAACAGCCATCGAAAAAAGTGCTAACAATAGAGAATAAAGGGTGCGGTTCTTTGATAAAGCCCTCAACGACGTAGTGCCTGAGAAGAATACCTGCGTCTCCTTTGTTCGGGAGGAAAGCGACAAGGGACCTCTCGCCAAAGATCTACGCAAGGAGGACCCAGACCGCGTGGCGCGTGTGACGGCAAGAGTGCACTACGGCAAAGTAGTGGTAGGATCAACCAGATTGCCGCTCTTGTTGGATTAGATTTGCCGCTGACTCTTGTCAGATCTACAAAGATCCCCCATCCAGCAAGCCCGACTCTGGCTACGGCTTCATCGTTGAGCTCGATCAGCTGACTGTCAAGAAGCCGAAGAAGTATGCTGTGGCTGCATTCTCAATCATATCGGCTTGCCACGTTGCTGATTACAACACAGGCATTACTTCCACATGTGGGAGATCGAGACTCCAGATGACGCAGGGGGCATAGGTCAGTCGCCTTTCCATCTCTCACTCCTTCACCACCATGATCCGTTCCCCAAAAGATAGTCATGTGCTCCACCTCAGAATGATCTTCCCCATCTCAAAGAAAAAGGCTGACTGGTCACAGACCCAGAGACCATGGTCTCCTTCATCATCATCCCCGCGAAGAAAGGCTTCCAAGCTGCCGCTGTTACTATCGCTGATCCTCCCAAGGAAGAGGAGACAGCCCAGGAGAATGAAGCACCATGGGGGACAGCGGCGGAGGATAATGAAACGCCATTGGAGACAGCGATGGAAGAGATGCATGTCAGTGAAGCCAGTGAGACCACCGCTGATGCTACGAGGGGCGACTGAGGGAGTGGAGGCTGGTAATTCCGAGAGCTTCCGTGAGCCTCTAGGGCCAATTTCATGGAAGAGCATGCGGAGGTGGAATCATGTCTGGTAGCGTATTCAGTGACAAGGTCATTCAGCCATTGCATAATCCCGGCTACTCGGAACTTAATCGGTCCTCTACCTTTAGCTACATTACCTCTCTCGCGCTAGATGTTTCGCATGTCACAAGCGATGACTGGACTGGATTCAGTCAGTGTGACGGGGACAGACATTGGAGTGCGGTGATTGCCTTCGGCCATAAACCACAGCGGCCTTAGTGAGACCAACGATTGCTTCCCTTGCTCACTGTAAGAAGAATGCGGAGATAGTGGCAAGATCACGGCAAAATCAAGGCAAAATCACGAAATATCTTGCCGCCCGCGCCACGTCGCAGCACCTGTACACGTCCAAGTAGAATTGCTAACCCAGCAAGGCGTCGATCTCTTCCCCGCTTTTCGTGTCGTGTTGTGTCTTTATTGGTCTATTGCAGGCTTACTTTAATGCAATAAGCGGAGCAGACTTCCCAGAATATTTTGTTGAGTGAAAAATTTTGCTGAGTAAGGATTGCTTCGTCTTCCTGGTGGAGGCACCTCGATGTGCACGGGCAGGATATTCGCCGAGAGGAGTTACTTAATTCTTGCCGCTGGGTTCTGTCCCAACACGTTCGGAAACTTGCTCGGGAGAGGATTTGGAGGGACCGTGCAATGCAGTGCAGTGCGGTTTGTAAGACGGATGACTTGTGTAGGGGGAGACTGAAGAGGAGAGGAAAAAGGGCGATGTTGAAGTGAAAATGGGGACTCGACTTATGCTCGGTAGTAACTCCAACAGATGAAGGGATTCACTGAAGCAATCGCTTGATGCAGAACGTGTAGCAGTATATAAGTTAGGATTGCAGACTTGGATCTTGCTTGGAACTTGATGACAAGTGATGGCTTAGAGTGCTTCCCATTCCATACGCTTCGGAATCGTATAACACATCTAACCTTCCAAATATAAATTTCCACACGGGAATCGTGGCCCGGATTTTTCGTCACTTTCCCTACGAAGAATACATCAACGTTTATTTTCTGTTAGCATTGAGATTCCATTTTTTCTGTTCCTCTACTAGAGATACCGCTGCCAGAATCATCGAGGTTGAGGGAAAGAAAAATCGTGCCACGTGTAGATGATGCAAAAACTTGATTGAAGAGTTGCCTTATGCCAAGGTAGCACCATCCTGTCCGCTCATCCATGAGCTTGCGTTCTATCTGTGCCGTCAATCGTCTAGGCTTCAAGCTGATGGGTAAGCCGATCCGGTTGGTCATCCAGCTCATCGGGACTCCAACCTGGAAGCTGGTGCACTTGGGGGTACACAGTCGGTGGTTGATGCTCAGCCTCTCCAAGCTCTACAGGCTTGGTATTCTTCAAATCCGCGTATCTCCCTTCCCAAGTCTGAACATCTTTCCTCAAGCCCTGCTTCTGCCTCGTCTGTCTCCACAGCAACCCCAACATGATAAAAAGTGCTAGCCCTAGTGGTACACCTATTCCGGCACCTATTGCTTCTTCCCTGCTGGACGACAATGATGATAACGTATTGTGGACAGAGGAAGCATTTGATGGCAACGTCAATGCCGTTGTCGTGGCGGTGACAGTAACGGTGGCGATGTTCGTGGCATTGGAAGATGTAGAACCGGATGTGCGATTGAAGATTACCAGTCCAGCTTCAATGTAAAAAGGTGCGGTGCTTCCTCTAGTGCCGACGGTGCATTCGTTGGTGGTTGTGTTGGGTTGACTACAGCAGAACAATGCTTGATCCTGAGAATTAATTGGAAATATCACGGCCGCACCGCTGGGGTTGACTGCAACACCATCCTTAGCGTCAAGATTGAGGTGTATTCACGCCTCCTGTGGAAAAACATTTGACGTTACTAAAAGAGGTAATTACCATCTGAACAGTCCTGCGAACACCCCGGGGTTTGCCATGTCTCATCCGTGCAGCTGCCTCTAGTGATCCATGCGGGGCCACTTTGTGAGAGACAGAGCTGATTGTCCAGGCATATGTCGGAATACGCGCAGCATGCGCTTGTACCGTTTGCACTAGAAGGAGAGTGACATGGGGTGTCGCGGGGGGATATTAAGCCGTTAGGAAAGTAGCACGTTTGCGCGTTAGCCATTAGTTGTTTCGTAGAAAATCGAAAAAAGATTGATGAAAAGCGCGCCTGTTGCAAGCGTAAACATTAGAGCGCAGTGTTGTCCTTTATAAGACCACATCACGTGTACACGGCCTCAGATCGAGTTAATGGCCGTCCTTTGGCTCAGCAACTATAACCTGCATCAGTGTAATTAACAAAGCCTTCCTATCCATTTCCTGCAGAAATTTGCTAAAACACAGCAACTCTAACCTATCTTTAGAGGAGTTATTCGCAGCCTTAACTATTGGAGCAGTTGAATCCGTCTTCTGCATTGATGAACATCTTTTACGCACCTGATCTATCAAAGGAGCCTCTTGCCGGATTTAGCGTGCATCAGAAAGTGCCTCACACTCTCGCACATAATCGAGTACTGTTATCTCCGAGAAGTACTTCGCCAATCAAGAAAATAGGTATGTGCATTATAGCAGTCGGATTAATCGACAGTACTACTCTACGGGGGGTTGAAGAAGTATTTACCTAACTAAGTGCATACTTGACCGATATCCACCACCTCATTCGAACGCGCACGGTTGATCGATTAAGACTTCGGCAAAGGGTGCCGACCACCTCGGATCGTCCCATGTACCTCTCAGTATCTTGGTTCAGATAAATGCACTTGGGCGTTGGTGCTTACCAATCGGACATGGCCGAATCTTATGCCAAGGCGGTGTGCCAAGAATATCTTCATGGCATAAGGGAAAGAGTTCGCCGTCGGGCAGATCTTACAATGAAAAAGTGAAACGCGACTCCTGCTTGCTGATACGAGGACAAACTTCGGAGCTTTGAGGGGAGAGCGAGAGAGAGTTGGCGTTGGCGCTGGCGTGGAACTGCATGTTGTAGAGGGGGTCGAGGGGGTGGTGTTCGTAGGACTGCAGGATGATCCTAGCGTTAGCCCCAATGTAACATGCATTGGCAACTCAGTCAACCTAAGCTCGACCGGTAATAGCGTGCTTTTGCAGGAGTTCTCATTGCTCAATTTCATAGGTCCTCGGATGTATTCCACAACGTTGTTGCCTCCATACTAAAGCCTACCCCTCAAGACTATAGTTGTCGCACTACAATCGAGAGCCATAAGTCAACCTTCCTCTATTTTTTCGCTTCTCAGAAGACCGGAACCCCTCAAATTCTTGTTTAGATTACACCAAAGCATTGAGCCTGCCTTATGGTAGCTGAAAGCTCTTTCTTACCCCAATATCTCCGCCTAGTCGTAATACGGTTTGAGTACGGTAGCGCCCTATCATAACACTTTGGCCGGTGTAAGCAAATGTCTTCTTCGCCTCCTTTAAATTGATTTATTCGCTGCCCGGTATCCGGTCAAGTCTCACGCAGGTTTGCAAATAAGAGGCACTTGACCGGCTTATTATGATGCCTTGGAGCGAGCTTCAGATTTGGAACTTGTAATTTGGTGAGATAGAGCCCGGCGGGCGGGGTAGGAATAAGAGTGGGAGCGATCGACAACTGGCTCTATGTTGATAGGCCGCACCATTCCACAGAGACTGAGAAAGGAAATAGATTGTCTATGACATTGTACTTAGGTAGATGGGCACAGTCTAGTAAAAAGGCCGTGCAGGATATGTTGTACCCTACTTGCTTGGGCACTAGACCCCCGAACCCCCTCGGCCCGGTCCCACGGCCCCAACATAGACTGGAGTCAGACATTCAACATAAATAGAACGCCTGTTAAAGTCCACCATACGCTCGAGATATATCTAGACAAGCACACACCGATTCTTCGTCTACACGATGATTTGATAATCCAGGTTTGAGCGAAACCTTCATCTTGGTGGTTTTCGGATTCTGGGTCTTCTGGATCGTTTCTCGCTTCCCGGATGGATGCTATTATTTCCTGAGACCGAGTGTAAGGAATATCGCAGCAGACATTGAGTCTCGACACATTCAGAGTGTGCAAGGAACCATTTTCCCCAATGAATCTCCTTGACTAATCAAGTAAGGCTTGTGGCCTGGGTCACGAACGTCTCGAAACCTGCCATGACCCATCAGCCTTTCGGCATGTTGGCTCCATCAAAGTCCGGAGCTGTAAGTTAACACGTAGATAGAATGGATGGGGTACTAGTGATGATATTTGTGGGAAATATGGCGCTGGGAAGGCTCGCGCGCTCTTTGGCGGGTTGCTAATTACCGAATCAACCCCGAAACTATGAATCCTTACCGAATCATACCCCTAATTACTGAATCATACCCCTACACCAAAATTTGAGGTATGATTCGATAAGGATTAATTGCTTGGAGTATAATTCGATAATTTATCAAACTTGCCATAGTGGCCTATATCGAAATTTGATATAGAGATATATCGAATTTAACTCTTACGCTTTTCAGCTACTATATTAATTAGTTACTTAAATTTATACTATATTTAAAATCTAGTCTCGAAGAGATTTAGAAAATTAATTCGTTTATTTTATATATTATATATCTAATATTTTAATAGTCTACTTATAGATATATCTAGATATCTACTTTATATTTATACTATTAGATATTTACGAGTAAAGATCTATAAATTAAATTTATAATTTTTTTTTTTAATTAGAGCTATCGAGTAAATTTGATAAGCGATCTTTAATAAGCGATATTTGAATTTCTTACGCTTTGATAATTATAAGACTAAATTTAGAAACTCTTTTTTTATCTAAAAGTCTAGATTTCGTTC